TTATTATTTCTATTTTGTAGAAATATAAATACAGATTCAGAGTCTGAAAACAATTATGGTTTTACTAAGTTGGTTCATTGAAATGATTTTTAGTCTAAATTTTGAGCTAAGACTTCTTCTAAGTAGGTTGAACATTTACCTGGTAGTCAGTTCATAAATTTGATATTCTGTAATATGGCTGTACATCCACCTGTCTCCATTTTTAGGACCATCTATCAATAGGTACAAGTAGTTAGGGTTTGTATTTTTAATAATAATCTTTTCATAGGATATTAGATTGGTATTGTAGTGTAATGGATATCATCTTGAAGTGAGGACTTGGAGATCCAAGTTCAAATTCCAGTAGAGTTCATTAGATTCACTTATGCACAAATACCATTGGGAAAGGTATGAATCCATCTCTTCTCTCCCCAGCTATTGGTTGAATAGCAGAACAGACTGGGTTCTTTAGACTTGGTTGGCAACCAGTCTACCACAGAAAGAAATGGCAACCTACTGCAAGAAAAAATCTGCCTTGTCAGTTATGTATCAAAAGATACATGATCATCCAAGCATGTATTACGTATGGCACTTAACTGAATGATGATTTGTTTTTCAGATCTTGGCAAGTTTTAGTATGATTTATGTTTGTATTAGAAGAAATGGTGGTGATTTTGTGAGGATGGTTTATGCATTGTGTCTTCAATTGAACTTCAGTGGTAAGCTCTTATATATGCTAAATGCTAGTTTATGTTGCTTTAATGATAATGGGGACTTGTTTGCTTCAGCATAAAGAATTTTGACAGAAGTATGAAAAGCTCCCAATGTTACTCTGAGATCTTGATGGTGTAGTTTTTCTAGTTCTTTTAAAAGTATGATTTTCTTGATGACCTGTAAATAAAACATCTGTAATCTAGTTTTGATCTTACTATTGATTAGTCGTCTTGATAATCATTTTTTTGATCTGCTCCCTAATCTGTAATGTGCTAGTAATCTTAGTAGATGGATCACTTTGCTTGCATTTTCTTCTCCAATACTTGATGTGTGGAATGAAGGACAACTTTTTTATCATATATTTTATGCCTGGATATTTATATTGTTCAACTACATATATTTTGTTATAATCTAATTTTATCTGAGAGTTTTAGTTTTGGAAAGTACAAATCTGTTCTGTTCCACTTGACTACTCTATTCAGGCATCATTGGTTTTTTACTGTTATTTATTTTGATATTAAAAGAACTGGCCAACAAAATACTTCATTGCAGTGCCCTGTTTTCCTACTCTTTTAAATCTAAAAGCATATTTCTCTACTTGTATTTGAAGTTTTGCTTTTCTAAGAAATTTCAGAAAAAGAATGGCATTTCTGCCTTTTAATTTGAGGTCCTTCAGGTCTTTAATTATTTCATGTTTCCAGGCTGTGCCATATGCTTTCTCCAAATCAAAAGAAACTAACAACCATGTGTTTCTTTTTCATAATAGCTTCTTTTATAAAAGTTTCTAATCGTACCAGATGGTCAAGTGCACTTCTTTTATTCCCGAAGCCTGATTGAAATTCTCTTAACCCACTGGATTCTAATTACCACATCAACCTTCTTTTTAACATTCTTTCCATCACTTTTCAAAAAGCAACTGTTGAGGGCTACTGCTCTATAATTTAATGGGTCATTATTGGAATTTTTGAGCATCAGGATCTTTGAGAGTTTAGGTATTGGTATCACTGTGGCCCTCTTCCATAGACCAAGAACATTACAATTTATCTTTTTGCCTGTGATTGGATTGTTATTTTGATTGAAATGTTTTAGTCGGGTGCTATTATTTTGACCTTTTATTTTTTTGATCATGTCTCATATATAGTTTTAGTGTTTGTATTTATTTTAGATGCATAATTCTTCCATGAGGTTCATTTGTCTTCTTTTACATTTCTCTGTGCTTTTGCTTGACTGTTTTTGAAGTTGTTTAAGTTTTCATTTTCCCGGTTCAATTTGCTATTTCCTGAGAGCAGTACAACATGCTATGATAGCATTTTTGTGTCAAACCAATGTCTGTTAAATCTAGTTGAGATTTTGGTATGTTTCCTCAGCTCGATAAGGGTTTTTGCAAAATAGGTGAGATGGTCCTCACTGTTTATTATATGATCCTGGAGTTTATTTGTCTTGGCATTGTTTTTTTGAGTCATTCTCAGCATTTCGTAGTATTCACTGTGATGCTTTTTGGTCAAGTTTGGGGCCTAAATTTTTCAATATAATAGGAAAATAGTCACTTCCACAGGTGTCATTATGCACTATCCAATAGTAGCCAATGAGTATGGTAGGATCAGATAGGGTTCAATCTATGGCTGAGTATGTACCTGTTGCTGGATGAAAGTATGTTTGGTCTTTATTATTATAAACTCATAGGTTTCTTTTCCATATCAGACATTCTATAATTTTATCTTTTCTGTTTATTTCCTTACTTCTCCATATCTCATTGTATCCATTAAAACCTCTTGGTATTATAAATGGTTTTGGGAGTTGTTGAATTGTATTATCACATTCGACTTCAGTTATTTTGTCATTTATCATTGTGTATATAGTTAATGTTTATGCAAGGTTACTGATATAGAAATTGAATCTGACTCTCTGCTATCTTCTTATTTACTATTATGGACGAGTGGTCTGAAGTTCTATCAATATAAGTATAATTAGAGAAGGTGTAATGTTTTATATTTTGTTTGCTTTGAGGAACTGTGTCTCTTGCAAGCAGATACTTTCTGAAGAAAAAATCAAAAGCCTATTCTATTGAATTTTATTTTTCTTATTTTTACTACAAGTTTGTTTTTTAAGAGAAGGGATGTTTTGTTGAGGAGTTTTAATCATTTTGGGGATTTCTTCCTCAATGCCCATTTCTTCTTGCCCTTTAAATATGGTTTAATTTTATTTTTGTTTGCCATTTTTCTTTCAGGTTGATCATGTATGGCAGTAATTTGCTTTCCTGAGTCTTCTTTGTCTAATTAGAATTGACACAACACTATCTTGTAGGCTAATTAGGAACTGTTTCCAACTTTGTAGCCTGAACAGTTTTTCCATTCTCTGTCTATGTATATTTATGAGAAGAGGTATTGTAATTATTTACACTATTTACACTGTTCGAACTGTTGTCCTCATCTTTGTTACTATATTCACAATGTTTCAGCCATTGTATGCTCTGGCCTTCTCCGGGTGATTGGAATTTCAAACCAAGAAGAAGTTAGAAGAAATTACCTTTTGAATTAAGAAAGGGAATAATTTAGGCAATGTGATCTCATCTTCCAATTCTTAGATGATAAATCTTCTAGGTCTGTGTAAGGGTCAAAAATTCAATATTTAGTTTCTTGGTTGATTTGTTTGCCATTAGTTTTTTTTTTCTTTTTCAAATATTTCACTATCACTGCACTCTACCCACCTTGGAGACCCTTTTATTGGGAAATATGAAGTGTGGGAAAACCCATTTTACAATCCTTTTCTCCCAAAATTGATTGACCCTACAGGTGTCACCTAATTCTGTTATTAACTATTATTTTGAAAAAAACTTTTTGGGTTACATGTATGCGTGGTGTGTAATTTGGCAACAATGTTCCCTGCATTCTCTTGCCATTTATTTAGCCAGGTCATGGACTGCTCAGCCAATAGAAGCCTGACCTTAGGCATCATAGGTTAAGTCCATAAGTTTGGGCATGGTATTCTTTATGTGTTACATAGTTTTAAGGCTTCTTTGTGACTCAATGGAAATACAGGTGGTGTAATGGTTAGCATTAATGAAACATTGGTAAGACGAGTTTGAATTCCAGTTGTGCTTGTGTAGCAGAAACAAAATACAGATGGAGCAGCCATTCACTAATGATAATGGTACTCACCCCTGTCGGTCATAGAGACAATGTTTAGTGTGTTGTCTCTGCAGAAAGACGGCACATGGCTGCCCTGCCAGAACAGAGCTGATACAAACCCTGGAACATCTGCTTATGAAGAAAAATATCTACCGGCTTTCCCACAAGATAGTCAGGACAGTGTGCTGAGTAGAATTAGCTATGCAAATGATTCTTTTCCTAACCAACTGCTAAAGTTTAGGCTCCATAAAAGCAGGCACATTTTCTGGGAAGTAGTAGTCTGGCAATTTGCTCTGTTGACCATATAATGGGATCACTGTGTGTTACCAAGGATTTCTGCTTGTGTTCCCCAGTATTGTATTGTTTAAAATTTGTTCAACCTTGTTTGTGTTTCCAAAATGTCTCAGCTGTGTGATCATGATGAGCAGGCAAGACTTCCACATGCGAATATCACATGTACAGGATGGTTGGCTAGTAAATGCGATGTTCCCATGTGGAAGTCTTGTTTGTGTCCTGCTCATCATGATCCCATGTTCAACTCTTTTAGTGTTTGATTCCAGTGCTGCTGATTTTTTTGATTTTTCATTGGCAAATACCCAACCAATACAAAGACAATCTTACAGTTTGTTACATTCAATTTTGCACAAATAACCTTGTGAAAGGCATGAACCCATTTCTGCTACTACCAACTATTGATTAAATAGCAGAGCAGACTTGGCTTTTTAGCCAATGTTTGCAACCAGTCTAGCTAGACAAACAATGTAGCCATGTCAAAGCACATATTATACAGTCATAGAAAAAATTATGGAGTTTACACTTAACAGTAGCACAGAGTTATAGACTCCATGATCAGATAGGTAGGGATAAAATAAACAATAATACTAAGGTTTTTTTTGGGTTTTTTTTTTTTTCATTTTATTTATACTTTTCTCAACTTGTACAATATCTACACTATTTCTGTCCCTCCTGTGGTGTCCCTTTCCAAGCTCAATATGCAAACAATCAGGTGACATTACAATTGCTATGACATGACAAAGTTCACATCAAGTGGTCAGTATTTTTGAAATGTAGAGTAGTAGGTTTTCTCTACAAAGTAATTGATCTGACAAAAATTCTATGCGAAAGATGAGGAGATTGATTTTCACTTTGACCTTCTTTAAAAATTGAAGTGGATTCTGTTCACTTGACTTTTTTCTTGATCAACTGATCAGAAAAGACAAGAGAAAGATGAAGAGAATGACAAGTATAACAAAAAGGGTGAGGAGAGAGAAAGGATAACAGATTAGTAGAGTAGATGCGGTAAGAGAAAAAGAATGAGAAATAGGAGAGAAGAAGAGGATGAATTAGATGAGAAAGTGGGAACAAGAGGAGAGTGAGCGAAAGAAAGAGAGTCATTGTGGGCAGTGAATGATTAGTGGAAGTAATAAGATAAAGAGAAGAGAAACAGAAATGCAAGAGAGTGGGTAAAAAGTGGAGCAGAGAATTGAGAGTGAGAAACTAGAAAAGAAAAGGGAGGAAAGATAAGAAAAGAGTGAAATAAAGCATAGAGAGAGTGATAACAAAACAGAGAAAGAAAGAAATAAAAGAGAATAAATAACTGATGTTGGTTTCCATCATCACAGATTAGTGATTAAATCAGAATGTAATAGATGAATAAAAATTTAATTATCTTGTCGGAAAAGAAAAAAGCCTTTTTAATTCTCTTGAACCAAACAATCTTATTATATGATATGTGCCAAGTGTATTTGCATATTTTTTGTCTATAACTTTTTGCCATAAAAGCTGTCTCCCTCACAATAGCCCATGCCAGGTAGAAGTGCCTATGCCTTGACAATATTGAACTTTTCCAAGATGTTTATGAAGCTAGAAGATGAAAAACCTAATACTCACATGTGAAATGCTTCAAATAATGACTTGACAAAATATGCTGTCATTTCTGACTGCATAGGTAAACTAGTTTTAAGATAAAATTCTACTGGACATGAAGTTGGGGATAGATATTTTTTATTAGATAGTAAACAGATCCCCCAAAATAATAATTGAAAAAAAATATATTTAAACATTCACCTAATAGAAAAGCTGAAATGTACTGTCATTTATGAGTGTTAAGACCCGTAAATCCCCCCACCCCCCGTAGAGAAAAAAGGGCCACAGCCCTACCACACTAGGTACTGCAGTTGTGGTTTCCATAGTATCCAGTTTTGAATCCAAAGTTGCCCTTCTTGTCGGCTGCTAATGAAACACAGCTAGAGAGTCCAGTCTGTCCTGTTATCTATTCTCTAGATTGAAAAAGCCGTGATGGACTCATATTTTTCCATGGTATCTGCATGAATGTGAATGCAACCATCTTGGCTGGAATTTGAACTTGACACACTAATCCTAGTTTCTGTGCCAATAACAACTATTTTAAACACACATCTAAATGACTAAACTAGTATTAATGTAAGATTTTACTGGATATAAAGTAAAAACCTATTAATAGTAAGGAATCAACAAAATATCCACCATTTTTTATGACTGAAGTAAACTAAAAGAGTTTTTTAGCTTCTGCTAATGAAAAAGTTGCCAAATTTTTCTTGTAGAGTTTATCATTACAATTTCAGCATTTTCAATCAGGGAATTTTTAGAAAATGCTGGACAATCTTGTCACAGATGAAGAAGAGACTTGAAATAACAGAAATGTTGTTCTACAGAAGGATACTGAGAATACCATGGACTGAACATGTGAGCAATCCCAAATTTTTAGGGGAAAATAGAAACAAAAAGGATGCTTACACTTAGAATCAAAAAGAGATAGTTGAAATTTTTATGACATATAATGCGGAAAGAAGGTTTGGAGCATTTAACAACCACAGGACATATTGAAGGCAAGAGTGACAGAGGAAAGTAGCAAATAACCTACCCAATGAGCTTGTGTATATGACTCATCAGGATAGCATAAAGATAAACCTTCCTCAAAGATAAAAAGTTGTGGATGGCATATATGAATTATCAGCTATAATTATTGGCCTTAATTTGACCACAAACACTTAAAAAAGCTAACAAATTTTAACACGTTGAAAATATTTATTCAATAAGAAAGAAAACTAACTTAGCAAATATTTTTGCTTATTGAAAAAGAAAAAAAAAAGGTCCCTGCTGCTTGTTGTTTATAAATCTGCCAATTGGCAAAGAAGTGCAGCTCCACGAGCTATCCAGTAATCCGCAGGCATATCAGATGGCAACTCAACAGAAACAACAAAATTGGTTGAATGTCCTAAAAAGCAAAAATAGAATTTTAGTGATGAATGATAAATGAAACTTTAGTAACAAACATCAGAAATAAGTTAAGTAAATGCCACGGAATTCTTGGGAAAAGAGATTAAAAGAAATAAGTTGAGATCAGCTAAACATTCTAGATATGTTTATACATAACAATACTCATGGTTACAGGATACAATGTACATTGGTCAGTTTTGGACATATCCAACCATTTTGAATACCATGAGAAATGGCTGTATACCTTTGAAGTAACTTGGCAAACAGCCAAAGAAGACCTTACTGGATATATATAAACAGATACTCTCCCATCAGGTTACTTAATCAACTTTTGAATGCCACTGAATAAGCTTATGTACTATATGTGTGTTGCCTTAACAATGACTCAGTGTGAAGATCAGTGATCAGGACATTTTGGCCAAACACTGCACCACTTTCATCTATCTCCACTTCCATCATGCACAAAAAAGTACCACATTTAGTCCCCCCCGTCACTTCAGGGCTTTTTCACAAATCTAAAATCACTGTTGAAACACTGTGGACAAACTATGAAGAAAAGTACAGCTGAGGCAGTTGATGGTGATTCCAAAATGGGACTTAGCAAATGGTTTTGAAATGTGTGATGTCCTAAGGCACCATTTCCCTAGGTAAGCTATTTTTTCATTTTAAATACTCTAAGTACTTTCCAGAAAAAAAACATCAAATATATACATTAGTAACCACTGCATAAATAAAACAAACATTCTGTGAAAAATTTTATTGTGTGTATGTAAAGCAGGGTGGGTGTGTACAATTTTTTTAGCAGAAAAATGTATGGTCAGATTTAACTATTGGAGGAAAATTTACTTGTAGCATCATTTATCTGCTGTTGGCCAAATGTGCAAAACTTTTATGTTCAAAATGTTTTTTTTGATTGAAACTTTTCAAAATATATTTTAAAGTAGTAAAATAGCAAAAGAAAAACATGACAGACATAAGGCTTTCATAATAATAATATTTTGAAAATATTTTTAAAAAAAATAATTAATTTAAATGTCATCAAAGCTGAAGTTAACAGATGACTACTTCATTAATTTATGCTTTTCACCTTCACTGAAAAGGAAAAGAAAATTTGTTAAATTGATGGCAAATGACTGAATCAGAAAGCAATAAAAATTTTAATGATGTTTTTATGATGATTTCCCTGTAAAAATATTTGAATATCCCCACCCAGTATATATGGTTCATATGTACAGGAAATCTATCAACCATGAATAATCAATTTTTTTTTTTATAATAGTTTTCATAAAATTGTTTTGTTGAATTTCTGAAGTCTATTTCATATTGACAATCCAAAATTCTAAGAATGTTTTACTAAAGTTTAAATCTACTCAAAAAATGTTTCATTTGTTTTTAATTGAAAAGTAAAAATTTCATGAATTTTACTCTTCACTTTTTTTATCCTCTCAGTTTTTAGGAATGTTGTTTTAAATGGATCAATTTTATGGCCCACAAAATAAATATGTATTTAAGAACAGATTTCTGGCAAAGCAAGTTATTTGGCATAGACACTTAAATGAGTAAATGTTTCTCAAATTTTTTCAAGCATTTAATTTTGATGATCTTAGCAGAAAAAATACGAATATAAATAAAAAATTTGCCTGAATCCAAAAACATTTCCCATATTATTATAGTTTAACAAAAAGATTTTAGCAAAGAAAAAATGTAGCTAATCAATAACAGAGAACAAGAAAAAAGGCTTTGAAAAATAAGAGAAAAAAAAAGATGGCAAAAAATGCAACAGATTCTCTTTCTTCCATTTCTTTTACTCTCTAAAAAATTATTATTTAATTTTGATAAGAAATTTTTATCATTTTTTGGTTTTGTATTTTTTCAATGTCTTACTTTAACTCATCATCCTTTTGTGGAATGTTGACAGCAATACACAATGATTTCTTTCAGGCACAAGATAAAGGAGCATCTTGATAGTGGGCCTTTAAGAATATCACATCATTTTACACTCAGGACAAAAGCTAAAAATATTTTCAAGTGCTTTTTATTTTGTGCAATTTACATCTTGTTAAATGCTAAAAGCTACAGCCAATGTGACTTGTAAATTCAAATTAGTGGATACAGTGCAGAAGCAGAAATTTCTGACATCTTTTTGGAATTGACTATCAATAATTTTGTGAATGCAATTTCCTTTAAATGAACAAATCCAAAAACAAATCATGTCACCATTTTGAGAATAAAAGATTATTGTTCTATTTTGATTGGTCCTTCCTGCAATTGAATGTTAGGTTTTCATTAAGGATAGAAGGGAAAGTATTCTGCTCATTCATATGTATGTGTTATGCATTCAAACTGAAGACCTGCTTGGGCACTGAAATTTCATTAAGTGAATCATGTGAGGATTCAAACCTCCAACCTAGAAATAGGCAGGCAAATGAGATATTCATCAGGTTAACATTCTACAGACTGACTGACTGCCAGGGCAACACAGTATGGTGTAATGGTTAGCAAGCTTGACTGAAAAGTGAGTTCGATCCTCACTAGGTGCCTCATACTATTGCCCTTGTGCCACATCTAAGCCATGCTTAGAAAATAACTATTTCACTGACTGACTATAAAGTAAAAATAACTTGGAAATATAAAAAGTTAAGATTTTTTTCTTTTAATGTTTATAATTCCTTGAATTAGTTGATTTATTTTATGATTTCTGAGTAGAAGAAGGACTGAGACAAACTGAAAAGTACAGATGGAAAATTAGAAAGGTCAGGGGATAAAAAATTTAAATGATTGTCTTGTTAAAATCTGAGGAAAATTTAATAAAAATCTTTTGTCATGGTTTTCAGTGAGCTTACTGATTTAATTTTATTTGAAAAATATAAGTAACTCATTCAAATAATTAGAAAACTCAAAAAGAACAAACTTTTAATTCAATATTTCCAAGATAATTTCAGTCTCTAGTCAAACTATAAAATGGTGGCCAAACAAATATGGTATTTGTGTGCTTATATCCCAGTCAGAGGTTTAAATATCTATGAAAATTTCACAGGTCCAGCTAAAGTTGAAATCAAAATTTTGGTTCTCTCTGTGAAGAACCCATTTCAGGCATTGAATTGTATGTTGTTTTTACCATCTATTACTAAAGTGAATGACACAAAACAATTTTCAAAAATGATTCCTGATTAAATGCAGTAAATCAAAAAGTTGAAGAAAATGAAAAGTTCTTATTTTTTTCTTACCTGTGGTTGACA